GCAGTCACAAAAATATCATCTAATTATTAGGGGGAATGTATGTTCACCCTTATATAGAGGTGTCAAGACGGACGGGCCGGCCATGATCCGTGAAAATCGGTCCGTGAAAACTGGAACCGCGGGCTGACCCGTAACCCGTGCGGGCGGTTCACGGGCCAATGAAGTGTAACCCGCGGGCTTCGCGGTTGTACCCCCACGGGCCTATTCAAAGTCATAGAATTGTGATCCTTTTCAGCATGAGCTGGATCATTCACAAAATCACTGCTATCAACTTGGGTTTCCCTTGAATGGTTCCTTTGCAATAACTCAACAAAATATGCTACACGCTTCTCCTCATTGCTACAATAAAGGACGACAACTCAACTTTTTTATGATCAAAATAAACATACCAACACCAGGGGCAGACGCAGAAGTTTAAAGTTAGGGGGCACGATCGAACTTACAAAGAAATTGAGAGAAATTTTACAATAAAAAATTTACGTTAAAAAAAAATCACACCACATGTAATTTTGTATCTGAAAATTTACATGGGATATGAATTTTTCAGATGTAAAATTTCGAAAAACATTTATATCATATTCCATATAAAATTTCCTATTAAAAAGATGAAAATTACATCGAGAAATTTGTATTGAAAAAATAATAAATGTTAATTAAATAATTTAATTTTTTTTAAATAAAATGCGAGTTAAACACTTTTCTTTAAGTTCACGTTTAACGCATTTTTAACTATTTTCGATATCTATTTGGATTATTTGATATGCTTATAATATAGTTCTCGAAATAAGCTTTAAGATTACATAATTAAGTTGTAAATTCGATTAGCGTACGATCGTCGAAAAATTTTTAAAGTTAGCATATTATTGAAATTTTCGAAATACTAATTTTGAACGGCTTACTTTGATAAGTAGTAGCATTTGCTCCGATTGATCATTTCATACACCATTAACGACGTAGAAAACTATGCTGTGAACACTTCGAAATGGTATTAAGAATGCAATATTTCGCCATCATTTGATGGAGAGTTAAGATTTTGTTAAAATGTGAGAGAAAATGAGAAAAATTAAAATTTATTTTGATTTTGCCCATGTTTGATGGAGATTAAAATCAAATTTTTAGTAAATTTTAATAGAAGTTAAATAGTTATGGATTCCATAAAATATGTTATTAAAATTAATTATTAACTTTGATTTACACTAAAATTTATATTTTAATCGATACTAAACATGATTATATATATATAACTCAAAAGTTGGGGGGCACGTACCCCTAGGACCCCCGGGTCCACCCATGATTGACACTGTAAGTATAATACGAGTAAATGTATCTCATTTCGTTCTATTTTTAGTAAAATAGTGAAGGATATTTTATTAGTAACGAGAAAGGGGTGGAAGAATTCATATATGTTGTTCTGGTCGAAATAGAATATCCTTGAAATCATCAATTCAATGACCAAAATAAATATATCCATGGTAAACGGCATACAGACATTGGTTATACATCCTCATGATCGAACAATAGTTCCTCCAAGCATGAAGCAGTCACAAACATTTCATCTAATTATAAGGGGGAATGTATGTTCACCCTTATATGTATGTTCACACAGATGATAGAAGTTATAATGTCCATTGTGAGTGTGACAACATGTAGGGTCCGTTTGATTGCAAATGTGGAAAATGGATGGACATTTTTTTCCACCAAGAACGTTTTCTAAAACTCTTTGACCCCCGAATTTGGAGTATCCTACTTTCACGCAATTCACAGGGGTCAACAAGGAATCGATATTTCACGATCAAGGACGTAATACTCTTTGTAGTAGCGGTCCTTATATATCGTATTAACAATCA